AAACATGGCATGCAGTGTTAATCGCATCCGTCCAAAAGTACATAGGTAGAGTCTTCTCACTTATTATTATTCGTGTTAATTCTTTTAAGACATGTTTTTTATGTTCCACAACACTATTTTATTGTGGAATGTACGGACATGAAAAGTTATGGGTTATTTCATTTTTGTTGCAAAATCTTTCAAACTAGTGGTTAACAAATTCACCATCATGATCACTTCTTAGGGTATTTTTTTTCTTCAAATTAAGTTGGTTTTAGATGAGCTTAGCAAATTTCACAAAGAATTTAAAGGTTTCTTCCTTTGGACTTAAAACCAGAGTCCAAGTGAATCTAGTAAAATCGTCTACTATTATAAAGCCATAGTAATTGCCTCCTAGACTCTTAGTCCTTGAGGGACCAAAAAGATCTAGATAGAGAAACTCAAGAGATTTTGAAGTGGTAAAACAATTTTTTGGTTTAAAAGTCGTTATTGTTTGATTTATCATTTGGCATACATCACAAAGCTTTTCTTTAAAAAAATCAATTTTGGGTAGATCGACTACTAGATTTTTTTTTTAAGTTATTTTGTTGAATGAGTCAAAATGCACATGACTTACGTGTTTATACCACAACCAGGAGACCTCACTCTGGGTGACATAATAGTTGGTACCAATATTTGATATGTCATCTAGATTTAGCATATAAATATTATACAATTAAGGGTGTCAAATATCATAGAATTCCTTATAACACACTTGACTTATGCTAAGGAGATTATGTTTAAGACATTTCACCAATAAAATACCAACTATGGTTATTAGGGAGGGATTTTCGAAAACATGCTCTCCTAATATTTCACTTGTGTTGTTGTCTCCATACTTAACAAAGTCGCGCTCTTTCTTGACAAAGTCAATGAATAATGGCGGGTCTCCTGTCATATGCCTTGAGCAACCATTATCTAGGAACCCCATCTTATTTTCATATGTAATACATTCCTACTCGGCAATCAACATTGAAAATTAGGTCCCCAACTAATGTTGGGTCCTTGGGGCTTAGTGTTACGACTCTTTAGTTTCCATGCCATGAGACTATTTGGAATTTTTACATCCCGAATGTGCTACTTAGTCCTAATGTCTTCTTTTTCACCACAACAATGACATGCAACTCTAGAAGAAATGTTCTTTCTATTCTTCTTATTAACATGAACAAATTTCTTATTTCGTTTTTCAAAACCTCGTTCATCGTCACTTGAACTAAGAGAGGTGACAATAGGTGTTCTAATGAATTGCGTTATTTGTCTCTTTAGACTTTATATTTCTATTTTTAAACTAGAGAAAGTAACATAATCAACTAAATTTTCCTCTTCAACTACAGTAAGAAGAATGCACAATTGGTCATTTACTAAAGAAGCATGGTCCTTCTTCAAGGACTCAAGAGCATTTTAAAGTTTTAAGACTTATGCCTCAAGTTTCAAAATCTTGTTCTTTTGAGAAGAGATTTTTTAAAATTATTTTAATGCATTGGCATGCCTCAGATAATTTATTGTAACAAGGTAAAGAATAAGAATCAAAGTTAGTTACATTCAAGAACTTCTTTTGTGTCGCACTAACAAGCAAAGATTACTTACTTCTCCATAAGAACTTGAAGAGGATGATGATGAGTCATCATCTTCTTCCCAAGCAATGTACTCCATTTGTCCATTGCAAAAGCTTTCAAATTGGTGGTTAACAAATTTACCACAATGATCACTTCTTAAGGTGATTGTTTTCAAATAAGTTAGCTTTGGATGAGCTATCTAGGCACTTCCTAAATTCATATGTAAGACATTTCTACCAGAAAATCAACATTGAAATTTAAGTCCCCAACAAATGTTAGGTCCTTGGGGGTTAGTGCTAAGACTCTTTGGTTACCATACCATGAAGCCATGTGGAATTTTTACATTCTGAATGTGCCATTTAGGCTTAATGTGTCCTTTTTCACCACAATAATGACAGAAAACTCTAGGAGAAATGTTCTTTCTATTTTTTCTAGTAAAACGAACATATTTCTTATTTTGTATTTCAAAACTTTACTCATTGTCACTTGAACTAAATATGTGACAATATGTGTTCTAGTGAATTGTGTTATTTGTCTCTTTAGATTTTCTATTTCAAATTTTAGAGCTGGATCACGTAGTCGTCAAAAGAATTGAATATCCTCTTTTTTGTCTCATTAGAAGAACCGACTATTCTAGAGGATCACCGACCATAATTCCAATCGCAGCTACGGTAGCCTTAGTGCTCAGAACAAAGAGAGTGCCCATTACTTCTTCAAGCTTATCTACATCTGACCGACTTTAAAGTTCCATGTGGGCCTTCAAATTAGTGATGTTGGGTTCACAGTTACCAGTCCTCATACGAAGCTGAATATAATCCTTAGTGCATTCTCTCCTCTGCCAATTAGCTTGTATATCCTCATCGGTTAATATGCAAATGGACATAGATACCTCGACGTAATTAACTTCTCTGTCAACATTTGATAAAAATGATTCTAATGAGCCGGATGAAGAAGTTTCTTCCTTATAGGAATTCTTAAATACCCTTTCTGAGTCAGAATTGCCAGATAGTGGTATAATTTATAGTTTTAGGTGGTTACAATCAAAAGAAAGGAGATAAAAATTAGAGGATGTCCCCACCATAGAGGCAGACAAAGTTTTTCTTTCAGAATTTCTCATTAGGTCAACCGTACTATCACTCATCCTAACTAGAAAATAGGAAATGTATAAGATAAAAACTTGAGTTTAGGATGATACTTGGCTATGTGAGATTGATGAAGCAGGAGAATGGGAATAATGGCAAAGGTTTTTAACAAAGCGTTGGATATTTCTTTGATTAATACTCTCAGGGAAAAAGGAAAGAAGATGTTTCTTAGAAAGTGACTGTAAGTTTGAATGTCAAGGGTTGCAAAAAAAACTTCCAAACACTAAATTCATCTTATTTATAGGAAGTTGCAGTTGAAGGATCCAACCAAATAGAGAAATAAGTTACAAGATCAACGACTATATTTCCCCTTGTGGACACATGCAAACTTGAGTGCACTCAAGTACACTATAAACTATGTCATGCCCTAGCTAGTCATATCACCACATGTGCGAGAAGAAGACTATGAAATGTTTCAATGATGGGATTATATTAATGTGCTTGTTCATTATTACACTCTCTCTATTTCATATTGGATAACATCCTAGAGGTCGGAAAATATCACTTAAGGCTTTCCCCCACTCCACTATTTCCCGTCAAAGCCTTGGGGAAAATGTTCTAGGTCGGTCAAAGGCCCAAACGACCAAAACCTAATTCATCTCAAATCCACTCCACTTAACCCAAGGTATAAAAATCAATTCACACGGTAAGGGCAAGGTGCATTCTCTGATCTTCACTTTCACTACACTCTTCACTTTAACAAAATCTGGGATATTAGCACATGCTCGTTTAAAATGTTACGATTGTCATTCATTTTCAACAACACGGTTAGAATAAATGATCTTACTCCATAAATTCATCATTGATTCTCGTCTCTTATGATCACAATCAACATGCATTGCGCTCCAACATTTTTACCAAAATGAAAAGTACATAACACATTCAGAAGCTTCATTGAATTCGTATGTGTCCAAAATATATCACCTACAACATCTAATTCATCTCTATTTCTTGTCCAATACACATGATTCTCATTATAAAACTCAATAGGTGTTACATTTGTGTGTATGCACTTCTCACAATGGTACAATATGTATTTCGAGCTTTATATATTTGTGTGACACTTGTCAAGTTATTTAGATTTCAATATTTCAATGCTCTCATCAAGAACCTCAGCGTTATGTGATACTCGTCATATCATTTGCAAGTTATCTTTCGTTCATATTTAAACGGTCAAAGATATCATGACCAATGTCTAATGTTATTATTAGATCATAATTGTAAATATCACATCTAACCTTAACACACCAACCACCATCAATAGAAAGAAATCTCAACTTAAATGAATATTTTCCCTTCTTTTTTTTTTCCGTATAACAACGGAATTTTCTTTGTTGTTATAATTCCCACCTATCTCACAACCTAGCATTAAAATGTCCATCCCGCCTCTTCTCCAATTGGTTGTGTCAGAGCAAATAGTAGCAACAATAATATTAATAATATTGTGTGTTGTCATCAAATAATTATAATATTTTTAAAAAAAGTAATTTATAAGAACGTTTTAACAAAATTGTACTGTATAGTGCATGTGCTACTTTGCCAAGTAAAACCTCTGAGATATCTAATTACAAGCCCAATCCACCAGATGTTTAAAAGTGGCCCATATCATTCCCATGATAACAAGACAGCCGCTCCATTAAACAAAACAAAAAAAAATAGCCGCCGCCGATTTGACAGTATTTATCAGAAAACACTAACACATTGGAGACGCAACGCTGAACTGAATTCAAACCACCGGAAAACGCAACCGTAATTGGTCGTCATCCTCCAGAAACAGTGAGAAAATCGTTCAATTTTTCCTCTTTTTTATTTTTTATTTTTTATTTTTCGAATATTCCTTCCCCTCTTCTGGTCCGCCGCGAGATGCAGTGCAATTTGCTGCCGCGACAGTCGCCCCTGCAAAAGGGAATCGCGTCACATCCGATTGGCAAATTTGCTCTTTAGTATCACATCATAAGCATGAGCTTTGTTTTTCTTCACCTTCTCTTGTTTGTGCTTATTCACATGATAAACCCTAACAATTTATATCATAATGTAATAATCGAGTGCTCGATGCAAGGTTTGGGAGAATATTGTTGTTAAATCCTATTCTGGCTTATTTGTAAGATGATGTTAGTATTAATTTGTTTGTTTAGGGTTTAGTGACACATTTTCTGAATTAATGTTAAGATTCAAAATTAGATACATTGTAGCAATTTAAGTATATTACTCTTCTTGTATGTGATTAATTTCTTGATTAATTCTCAAAATTATGTAACATGAAATGCAGCTTTCTTTTAACACCATGACGAAGAAGAAGAAGAGTTCTACATTGACTTCAAATAAATTGCAAGAGAATAATACCACCAAGGAAGAGCAAAAGCCTTCTTCTCTGCAGAAAAAAGCCGTTAGTGAAATTGACGAAATATTTGCTGGTAAGAAGAGAAAGAAGTCTGATGTGAAGAAGGGTGAAAAAGCCGATCAAGCAATTAAAAGTAGTGATAAAACTAAGAAAAGGACGAATGAGAAGAAAAAACCGAAGCGGGCAGATGAGAGTGAGTTTATTGAACGACCATCTCGATCAAGAAAGAAAACGGAGGATGGACTTACCATCTATACTGAAGAGGAATTGGGTCTTAGTAAAGGGGATGCTGGTAATACTCCACTCTGTCCATTTGATTGTTCTTGTTGCTTTTGATGGATGCTGTGTGTACACTTGTTTCCTTGCTACAATGAACAAAGGTGTTGTGATTGTATTACATTGTTTTGTCATATTTATAGTTGGGACGATTATTTCTGCCCTGAGTTATCTTGTAATGACGTTGAATTCTTTAGATCTATGATTCCTAGAAGAAGTCATTTAGATTTTGCAACCGTTATAGTTCTGCACTTCTAGGCTTCATCCCCTAGAAACATGATTGTTCATGTATTATGTCTATGCTAGATGATTTAAGTAATTTATTAGAAAATGAAGGAAATATTGTAGAAGTGCTTGACTCAAGTTAATTTATTAGATGGTTTAAGTATGTTTTCATGTTCAACCAAACCATCTATGTACATGTTCTTCTGTTTTTATAATCCCTTTTTCTTAACATGCATAGTGGTTTGTTCCTTTGAAACCTAGCTGATTTTGGTGTTTGTATTGTAACCTGCTTTAGTTATGTAGCAAAGCATAGTGATTGGTTTTATCATTTCATACCCTGTTATTTATAGAGGGAGGGGCATCTTCCCCTTATCATCTTACTCTCTCAATTCTCTTTTATAAATAAATTTTGACTTTAAGATTCACTCAATAAAGGATGTATTTAGACTATATGAAATATTCAATGAACCTACAAGTCAAAAGTTGCTTATAAAAGAGAATGGAGGGTGTAGTAGTTAGTACACTAGCTTTGGTCTATAGTTTAGATAAAACCTTTAATGTAGATTGCAGAGAAGAGCAATGAATTAGTGCTGGTTGAAGTAGAGACAGTGCAATACCAAAGCATAACATCGAGTTTATCAGGCACCAACTGGTATTGGCTTCTCAGCTTTTACTAGTCCATCTGAATCTAGGATCAAAGAATTAATAGAGAAGCTAGAATTTCTTGCAATGCTAAACATTATATTGGGTTGAAAGAAGGTAGTGAGGAAAGCGGAGCCAGTCGGAAATCCTAAAAAAGACCGGCAACACTCTTTCCTAAAAATTGCTTAGATGAGTCAAACAACATCAAAAGATTCTAAAACCTGAACGGCTAAACCTATATTTTTATGCTCAAACTACTGCATCTTATTGTCATTGTACTCAAGTTGGGCATGGGTGGGTTTTCACACTGCAATTACATTCTTTGATAATGAAATTTTGATTGTTTACTCCTTGTTGTTCTCTCTTTTAATAGCCTGTTTGTTTTCGCGTTTGAAATAGTCAAAAACGCTAGTATTTGAGGCTTAAGAAAATCACGGTCAAAAGCATAAATATGTTTTTCCTTAGAATCATGTTTATTGACACCTCACCAAGAATAATTTTCTCTTCAACATTTAAACAAACACATACTAACTGGCAATTTAAGTCATAGTTGTATATACACCACACACCAATTGCCAATGCCAAAAATAAGGATGTTGTTACAAGAAATTGGCTTGAAATTTTACAATCCTATTTGACATTTTAGATAAGAGAATTTGTACTCTGTTTTTAATGTATCACGGGAATTTTTACAAGTTTCTCATGTTTTTTGGAAATACATTTTCGAACACATCTTTTGCATACTTAATTAAAGTTATTTTGTGAGGCGCCTTATAAATTGAGTTATTTTTATTCTAGAGATGCATCTCCGGAACATTTTAAGAAAAACCTTAATTATTTATCAGTTTAGTGGAAATTTTAGAGATATATTTTCAAAATTATGGGCGGAAATTTGAAATCTTCTATCACCTTTACATGTCAGATATTTTCGGAGATGCATCTTTAAAAATTTTTGATAAAAGAACCAGTTGCATAATCACACAACTATTGTTGGCATAGTTGATTTTTAACGAAGCCCTTCACCAAAAAAAAAAAACCTTATTCTCAATCCATTTTTTCACTCCAAATATTTATCCTTTTTGCTACATCACATCATAGGGAGGAAAAAAAGATAGAACTTCAGATAAAGATTCTTCTTTTTCCTCTGCATTGTTCACATTATTCTTTTTTTTTTTCTAAAAAAAAGTTACGTCATGTCCGAAAATGTATCTCTGGAACGTGTATGAACTTGTCCGAAAATGTATCTCTGGAACGTGTATGAACTTGTCTGAAGATGTATTTCCAAAAGTTGTCTAGATTCATTTTTGAAGTCATTCAGCAGCAGTAGCGCTTATATACTATTATGGTTTTAATTGTTTTCATTAGATATGATGCACCCTAATGTTTCCCCTAAACAAGTTGTTTCTTCGAATGTCCAAGATGTTATTGTTTCTCCCGAATGCCCAAGGTGTTATTATGAAGGTAATAGATATTGGCAACCAATTTAAAAACAAGCAAGAGTTTGGATCTCGTGATCAAATGCTTCAATGGATTCGTATGGAGACCTTTAAACTAGGATTTGGTATGGTTATCGGAAGGTTTGATAATGGTTTGGATAGAAGATGCGCTTTTGTGACAATGACGTGCGAAAGAAGCGGGAAATATAGAACTCCTCTCTGGAATTTTTAAAGAGACGACACCGGTCCAAGAAAGTGTGACTGGTCGTTTAAGGTTCGTGGTTACATGTTGGCAAACAAAAATTGAAGATTTAATGTGATATGTGGTTTGCATAATCATGAATTATGTTTAAAACTAGTCGTTCATTCTAGTTTATGCCGACTCAAGTCGGAAGAGAAGGAATATGTTACTGACATGGCCTTAAATCTTGTTCAACCGAAAAATATACTTGCGACATTGAAATGAAAATGACCCGAAAATATATCAAATATCAAACAACTGTACAATATTTGGTACCTCACTAACAATGCACTTAGGGGGTAAAAATGAGATGCGACAACTCTTGAAACTGTTGGATGATAACATTTACGTGTCTAGGTACCGAACATGCGATGATGGAGTTACTGTTAGAGATATTTTTTGGACTCACCCTGATTCAATAAAGTTGTTCAACATGTTTCCTACGGTGCTCATACTTGATTCAACCTACAAGACTAACAAGTATAAACTTCCATTATTGGATATGATTGGTGTTACCTCAACTGAGAAAACATATTATGTTGGTTTTCCATTTCTTGAATGTGAAAAATAAAACAATTTTACTTGGGCTTTAGAGGTGTGTCGGACACTGTTGAAAGTCCACGGTGAGATGTCTAGAGCGATTGTATCGACCGCGATACCACATTGATGAATTCGTTTGCAAAGGTATTTATTTTTTCTTATGCATTACTTTATAGGTATCACATGATAAGAATGTGAGAAGTTGGGTTAAACTCGCGGTAGAGACGAAACAAATAGAGTCCTAAGATAGAAAATGGTGAAGGAGGGTGTGGTTGGGGAAAAAATAATGGATGCATGGAATCATATAATAAATCCTATCACAAAGTAACTATATGCCAATTTCGTTATGCATTTCAGAAAAGTGTGTGAAAATTATCCAGATTTATTAAAATATGTTGAAAGCACAATTCTTGAACAGGTGAAGGAGAAGATAGTTTGTGCATAGACTGATAATGTTAGACACCTTGAAAATACAACAACTAACAGAGTTGAGTCTGTCCATGTTAATTTGAAAAATTGGTTGGGAAATAGTAACGACGATTTGTGTAGAGACTAGGAATCCGTGAACCACATGATTCAAAACTAGCATAATGAGATACAAACAACATTTGGTCGAAGCATCAAAGTTTTGGAACACATATTTAAAGAAAACACTCTATATTCTCAGTTGGTTGGTAACATTTCTCGGGCGGGTTTGAATTATATTTTTCACGAGGCTAAACGAACTGATAATGTAGAATCCGATAACGCAAAGTGTGGATCCACAATTGTGAAAACATATGGTCTCCCGTGTGCTTGTGTTATTTCTAAAAAGGTGAAACTTGGTGAACCAATAACAATGAACGAGGTTTGCATTCATTGGAAGATACTTAGGTTCGATGATGATGGATGCATGGATAGCGGTAAATCGAATATCTCTATTTTGACCGAATGGGAAGTCATACAAGAGAGATTTTTGAAAGTTGATGAAAACATGAAACTCCACATCAAAGAACAATTGAGGAATATTGTCTATCCAGAAACCACCGACATGAAACCGCCTTCTCAACCCGTAAAACCAAAAGGTGCTCCCAAAAAATGAAGCCTACAAGGAATGACAATTCGACTACAGGGTATCCTTCATATTTTGAACATGTTGACAAGGTTTTTCTCAACTCACCGGCTCTGAAATCTCAAAAACGTGTTTTCAAATGAGCTCGCATTAGAAAACCACCTCAGAAGCCGCCTCTGCCAAAGATTACATTCATCGACGAGATGTCGGTTTTCATGCACAAATATATCGAGCGGATCGTCAATGTTGTAGGGGTCGGTAATTGCGGTTACCGAGCCGTTTCGGCTTTACGCAGTAAAAGGAGAAGATTGTCATACACTTATCTGCCAACAACTTATCCAAGAGTTGAAGGCGCATAAAGAATCATACACGCAATTGTATGGAAAGAAAGAAAAATTTGATGCGGTTTATGAGTCTCTTGTTCCTTGCTTGAGTGGTTCGGCACCGGAGGAAAAATGGTTGTGCTTCCCTTAAATGGATCACCTAATAACATGTGTGTATGATATTGTGTGTTGACCTGACACGCTACGGTTTTTCGGAAACCTTTTTCTCACTGCGCACCGCACCACCTCAAAATCCAAATTATTGTATCATGTGTATTGGGTGGCTTTCAAAATTGAGTCTTTTTGTTCAAGTTTACTTGAACCTGAGATATCTTATATCACTTACATCACCGGAATGGACGGCTCACTCAACCACAAAAGTCGAGACTTTGCCGGATCATTTTATGGAAAGGATGCAAGAATTTGAGAAATTGAACAACATTGAAAAAGAATCAAATCCACAAAAGTCCAAGGGGGTACCACCAATAGATTTATCTGGCGACAAATGTCTTGATTCGTTTTAATGTTTTGTTTATCCGAACAAATAAATGTATCTAATTGTGTCTCAATATAAATGAAGTGTTATATATTCACATTTTGTT